TTTTTATAGTTATATTTCCTCTTTTACAAACAAAGGGGAAACAGCCGTTCATTGACGACTGCAGTTTCCGGTGTAGCGGTCTTAAGACGGTGTTTCTGAGTATTACCCTTTCCCTGGCCTGCCTCTCCATGTCAGCTTCTTCCCGCAGCAGCTCTGCTTGTTCTTCGGCCTCATGCGTCGCTTGCTGCAGTGTCTGTATTTTCCGTCTGACAGAGTCTATGGACGTCAAAGTCGCCATGCTGCGAATTTTCAACTTCGAGCTTTTCGCAGGCGTCACGGCGTTGCCTTGGCAACTGTAAGTCGGAATCAATGCAAGAGTTTTCTGGTTACTGTTTCAAAATAAAAGTTGGCGTTCCAGGTGAAGTCGGAAGTCACTCTTTTCAAATGGAACGCCCGCTTAACTCGGATTTCCAACTCGGGCTTCCACCTTCGAGTTAAGAATTGAAGATGGAGGCTTTGCACATAAACATTAGCAACACTGTAAAAATGGTAATATATACATGTTCTATAAATAGAGAGTTGAACAGGCTCTACCAATGAATGTGCTCCATAGTGGTTTTAAAATAAATAAATAAATAAATAAATAAATAAGCAGTTTTGTTTTGCTACTGAACCATCTACCTTGCAGGAACAAAATTAATCCTGTTTTCCCAGGCTTCTCAGAGTTCACTAGCCTCATCCTCAGAGGTAAATGGAACACAGCTTAGCAATGACACAAGTTATTTGGACAGATCATTTTTCTAATATTCCTTCATAGGTAATAAAGTAAGATTTTAGATAGATTATAGATTATAATAATTCATATTTTTATATAACAGTATACTCGATTAGGTTCATTTTTCACCCTTATACTAACAGTACAGCAATACAACATGGAATATGACTGCTCATATTTTTTTGCACAGCTCCAGATAATGTAAGTAAAAAATTGGCTAAAGTGTCAATAAGAAGGACAATTTGTAAAGGCACTAATGATGGTAAAAAGTCAAACTTTTCAAATTATTTATTTCAAATTATTTTCAAAGTACATATAGTACAGTGCATTACTACATGCACAACATAAATGTGTTTGAGAATAGAACTTGATGTCCCAAGGCAAAGGTATTTATGTTAGAGTGAACATCAGTTACAAGCAGAGGAAGCATAAACAAATGAATGCATTGCTCTGATGCTTTTCCATCTTTGGAAACCTCACAGTGACTCTGCAGACAAGACAAAGTTCCACTCCTTTTAGGACCAATGCATGTGGTCTCACTCTTTCCTGCATTGCTCATTTTGACTCAGAACTTTTAAAGAAAACTAGACCACAAAAATGACTGTGACTCTCATAAAAGGCATTGTGGCCCCAGTTTCACTACTAATCCTGTTCCATAAGTCAAACATAATACATCCAACAAAACTATTATAGTTGTAGGAATAGAAAGTTAAATATATGCTCATTAAATATAGTAGTAATTCAAGTACCTGTACAGATATTGAAGATTGTTACAGCGGTAAGCTCCAAATAGTTAACCATAGTATTAACCACTGCACTACCATGCTGCCCAAAATAAAATCTTGCCTAATAAACTGTTAAGACTTGATAGATTAGTTGTAATTGTCCTCAATGTGCTAATAATCATTTTTCTCAAGTAGCTGAAAATGAGTTAACTGCAAATGATGATAGTGATTTGGAGGATTCAGCACAAATAGCTTTTACATCATATGAATTGGTGATGATTTTTGGATATGTATAAGTTGATGGAGTGTAAAGTTTGACTTACTGTAAAAGTAGCTTGTGCATATTTCAGACATAGTAGAAGCTAAGACTTGCTACTAGTTTTATAGCATTAGTGATGGCCTACATGACCTTAATTTCAGTTACAACCCAGTGCTAAACACCTGAAGTGACTGGATTGAATAGTGACAGAACATTTAAGAATGACAGTACACATAAGGTAACAACCATCACTGTGACCAGACACAGTAAGCTAATGTGATCT